GATGTGAAACTGCTTCACATGCATAAGAATTTTATTTTAAATTGGCTACAACATTAAAGACAATTTTTGCAAGATGGCTCACCTTCGTGGAGTTTTGTAGTATGCACACCAAGCTAAATACACTTTGCAGTTGTTTCGTAGCTTTTTTTTCCCCCCTCATTTCTGGTATTGTCAGTCACCAAGTGTCTGTGGCAGCCATGACCCGTCTAAAACTGTCATTAGTCTGCCAGTTTTCTTCACTCTTATCTTTTAATGAGATTAGGAGTCTGTTAGGAGCAGGAAGAGAGGTGGAGAGCAAGAAATCAGCAAATGTAATGGTAAGCAAGCGCAAGTTTTATCTTTCTTTGATTATACTTTGTGGACGTTACACTAAGCAGAAGCGGTAAATCTGAATATCGGAACGACGGTTAATGAGATTGGATTGAATTTAAGTGTTGGAGGGCTTTTGTTCATAGACGACAAGAATATTGGCAGAATTCCTAACTTTGTGTCGAAAGCGTGTTTTAATGTTTAAAACGTTAAATGTTAAACATTTAATATTGCTGGGGAAATAAGGATATACTTCAGTAAGCTTTTACAGTCTGGATTTTTTTTAGACTAATATCTCGGTTCTTAATTATTTTGCAAATTGGAATTATCGAGATGAACGAAATATAAATATTTTCAACATTTTCATTAGCTTTATTTTTTAGGTAAAATAGTAATCTAATCCAATCAGTACTATATATTTATAGTATTATGTACTACAGTATACAATATAACGTCTGATTAGGCTTGTGAAGACCAGCGAGTCCTGACCAACAACCAAACAGAGAACAGCGAGAATGACTCTGAGGAAGGTAATGCCAAAACTATTTACCCACCATGCATTCATGCTATACAGGGTAAATTAAAAAAGTTGAAGTGACTTTTTTCTCTTCTGAAGGGTCTAGACACCAGGACCAAACTGCCTTAGAAGAGCCATCTGTTATGGTGAGGCTGGGTCCAAACAGGTGATATATTCAGATATAAACAAAAGCTAGCTTTTACTACAGCTAGCTTTATATCAGCCATTTATTTAGTTATCCAGAATTTTGATTTGTGGACATGCATTCCTATAATTCAATATTCAAAGCATTTATTGTCATGTGCACAGTGATGAAAACAGGTTTCCCTGTACAATGAAATTCTTTCGTTGCTGTCCACAGTGAATGCCAAGACAAGTGCAAAAACTATGTAAATAAAATAAAAAAAACTATTCTTTTTAATGTCTGTTATTTCACTCCATCTGTATTGTTGGTTATTTCATGCCATCATAGTGTTGACATGACAGAGGAGGAATTGGAGGTCAGTCCTGTTTGATTTAAATAGAGAGATACATAGATACATACATAAATGGACATTGTGAAGTGATGGTTTTGAAGAATATCAGCTCTCTTTAAAGTGTGGCATATCTTTCTAATTCTGTTCCATGTAGATTCTTTTTTTATCTAAATAATTTTTTTATGGTATTTTTTAATTGTATTTTTTATTATTTAATTTAGTTTTTCATTACCTTACAAACCCCCTGCACAGGCTGCTTTCTCTCAGCTGTCTCTGGCCTTTCGCTGTGACCAGTACACGCTGTGTCAGAGGCTGGAGACAGAGGAACACGCTCGAGACAATGCTGAGGACAACCTCAAACTGGAAGTGGAAAGAGGCATGGAAGTGCTTGAGGTATGACGACTACAGTCTGAGAATACCTTTTTTGAATCATTGCTTTTTTGGATTTAGCCTATGCCAATTATAGAATTGTATTTTTGCCACTAGACACTCAAGGGAATGTGTTTAGATATCAAACGTGCCGGGCTTCTCCGGCGTCTTGAGTTGTGTCTTAACATTATCAGGGGCACCATCGGACGAATCTCCAACACAGCAGAGGTTCTTGGGGCTGTGCATCAGGTATCGGTCCATACTAGAATTTACTCTGGTAGCAAAGCCAGAGAACATTACAGTAGGTCCCATTTGATTGGTGGTTCAATCAATGGGCTTTTAATATGTTCAATCCCGTTCTGTGTCTGTGTAGGAGGCCAAAGTGAACCATGCAGTGGAACTGATGGTTGCTCATGTGGAGAACCTGAAGCGCCGTCATGAGAGGAATAGCGTTGAACTGGAGGAGATGAAGGAACAGATGGAGAAAAGCAGCAGAGAGCGACATGTCTGTGAGCAGTGGGGTAGGAAAACACCCATTCAGTTCTTTCACAATGTTAAAGTCCACTAGCATTTTGAAATAATGTATCTGTGTCACTGCAGTGGGAACTGACGCTATTGAAAAGCTTGAAAAAGACTCACAGAAGGTATTGACTCTTGACTCCATTTAGCAAGACGCTCTTATCCAAAGCGACTTACAGTGATAGATATATGAATAATTTATAGTTCAGATGTGTATTATATGATTTGTTAAGAGTATCATCAGTCTCATTCTTTTGTCTCAGTCTCAGTTACGGCGTAGAATCAGTACAAACATCATTGCAAAGCAAATCCAGGTTGGTGCACAATGAGTCTCAACCATTCATCTTAATTTAATTTAAGTGCACTTGTAATTTTCTTTTCTTTTTCATTTGAAGAAGCAAAAAATAAAGGAGTAAGAAGCTATATTATCTTCAGTGACCAATGAGATTTGTGAAATCACAAAGAAACCAGACCACACAGATGACTGCCAAATGAGCAGAGGGTAATTTGGATACATCTGTATATTTATAGTTGCGATGTAACAGAAGTAGTGTCAGATCTTTTCTTCTGTATAGATAGCTTCAGGGATGATGTATTTTTGCAGGCCAAAACCTAGAAACAAGTTAGCATTTTAGCACTTTCGGTTCTATCCTCCTGAAGTCAGTGCTTGAAGTCAATTTTTTCACTGGGTTTTGGGTAAAAGCTTCAAATAAGGTCTGTGGTTAAGACCAGTTAAAGTTATTTTCACGTATTCTATGACCTTAAAGATTTAAAGCTTTTATTTATTTTGAAAAGGTGCTAACTGCTGGTTAAATGGGACTGCAGAGGTTGTCGGGATGTTAAATGCCATCATATCGCACTGGTAAACTCATCTAATCACTAGTCCACTTTCACAGCTTCATTGTGTTTATAATCGCACTCTCGCAAACTATTTTAACGCAAACTTTCAGAGTAAATAAAGACTGAAAGAGTTGTTGACAGCTAAGTAGTTATGTAGTTAATTTATAGCCTACATTTAGCTTTTTACTTCTGCCAGTTGTATTTACTTCAAAATAAATAAAAGTTGTGTTCATTTGTGAATATTATAATGATGAACAGAATGTGTAAGGATCGTAAACTTTTGTTGATTTGAGCTTATTTTCTACAATAATCCAAAAGCCAATGGAAAAATCCCATTGGGTTTTTGTCCAGGGAACCAGTGTGATGCTAACTTCCAGGTTGGCCTGCAAAAATACATCATCACTGTAGTCAGTGATGTACATCTGAGAAAACAGATTATTAAAAAAAGATATATGCTGGAGACTTGATTCAAGTCTTTTTTTTTTTTTAAACCAATGATATACACAGATGAACCATTCGCAATAAAGTCATTTATAAAATATATACAGTGAATTTTTATCAACGTGAAATCAAATTTTAAACTATTGACTGACTTTATACACATTTCTAATGTCCTGTGATTTTTTTCTTGTTTCATACCCTTTTTTTTTTACTTGGGAATACATAACATTTTGGAATAAAATGGGTTGTGAATGTTTTATGCTGACTTACTACAGTGTAAGTGTGATTAATAACTACATCCAAGTCTCACATTTCTTTAGGCAAGTAACGTTAGTACCTCAAGAACTTTTAACCTCACAAACTGCCACAGTGGATGCTCCTGAGGAGACATCCTCTGCCCAAATTCATCCCAACCAGACTCTGAGTCTTGAGCTGGATCCCACATTTGTAAAAAAGTAGGTAACCTTAAACATGGGCAAATTGTTTTTCAAAGTCATGGAGAAAAAGTTTCAGGAATAAAGGAACCTTTAATGTGTCATTACAGGCATAAACAATCCACAAAGTTTGATCTAGTGCTAAGATTTTCTCTGCTACAGTTAAATAGTGGTATATTAACCATTTCATAATTATGAAAATAACAGACACCCAAGTTCACTGCCAGTGTTACCTCATCAAAAGCTGAGGAGGAAGGCTTCGCTGGAGAGCAGTCATGCCTTGCTGAAGGAATCTGAGCGCTACCTCAGAGACTGTGATAGATGTGTCATTAGCTTGTAAGTTACACTTAATATTCATTTGCACGCTGCTTTTTCACATAGTCTTTTATCTATTGAATTATTAATCCATACTGATTATTTGTTTTGTTTGTGACTCCACCTGCAGACGGCACCCTCTTATGCAGTGGATGTATCGTTGCCGCTGGATAGTCCTTGTCATTTACCTCGCTGTTCTTTGCTCAATCATTATATTAGCCATATTAGTGTGGTTGCTGCAAACCCCAGTCTTATGGATGTGAAAATTATAATAAATATGTACAGAAATGAAAATGTGATGAATGTGTTAAAAGCACTGTTGATAGCTTTTAGTTACTATTTGGTAGATGTTTTAACTTTGTTTTAGGGCAAACTGTTTCATGTATAGTTGTAAATGGTCTCAGAATAAAAGTCTTGCACTGGCACTCATGTCAATGTATGCTCTAAATCTGTTTTCTACAATGTCAATGTGAAATATCTGAAAATGTGACAAAATGCGAATAGTGGCAATAGTGAGGATCTGTAATATTGTTTATTAAAGTATATTATAAATAATATAAAATATATTCATAATTAGTTAGTGTACAATCAGGAAGTAAAACATCTGCATTTGGTATTAAAACTCACGGATTATTCTGACAATGCATATTACAGTAGCAGAGCAACACTTCACTAATTTAAAAAAAATTGTGTTAGGAAAGGGGCAATATTAATTCACAAATAAAAAATATTATGGAAAAAGAATATATTAATTCATAATGTGTTAAATAAAATCATGGGGAAACTAAGACATTACGTAATACATTAATTATGAAGAATCGTGTACAAGACACAAATATATACTAAAAGATGTCATTTCTGTGAGGGCATTCTTTTGCAAAAGGTGGGCCACACTCTACTGACATCAATAAAAGCACAATTATATTATACATTCATCATAAACATCTGGCATGATGCCTTACAAGGAAGTCTTAGACTTGAAATTTAATCACAAATGTAGGCATATATGGAATCGAGGCTCAGCTCCAACTTGGTCAAAAAGCCTCGGTGAGAATGAACATAATCAGACTACATCGGTGAGTCCATTGGCTCAATAAATAAAAATAAAGACATGTACAATGAGAGTTCACTTATTCTCTGTGTCATCTCCTCCAGGTTTCTTCTACCTGGTTACACCTGACTCACAATCTCGGAGTCTTCCTCTTCGTACCACTGCAGCGGCGTTCCATCCGAAGCCCTTTGCAGAATCACCTTCTGAGAAACCTGGATCGAAACAAGTATGTTCATCATTTACCAAGAACGGATTTCATTTACGAAACTGATACTGATAAATGCACATATTGGCCACATCTTTACCTGCTTATGAGAGGGAATCTGGTGGTAGGGCGGCGGCACTGGGCGCTTGATTCGAATCGATCCTTGCCGTTCAAGTGAGCGGGGTTTGGATATGACTATATTGTTTTTCTGGTGCCAGGTTTTAAGTTCCCCTGATACCACATCTCGAGGAAGCACACGGCTGGGGTGGTTGGGATATTCTCTTAGTGACGTCGTGCGGACCACCTTTGTGTATGGCGGGGGAGGCTTGAGCATTCGTTTGGGTGAGATAACCTCGACTTGTTGGGGTTTATTAGTATGTACAGGATCAGATTGTGAATTCTGTCTGAGTTGCAACCTTGCCATGTCTGCCTGAAGTGGTGTCCCATTGCTAATCTTCACTCGATTGGGGCCGGGCACGAGGTGAGGTGGGTTTTTGTTGTTGTTTTTGAGTGTACTGTAGGTGTTGAGCTGGCTTGGTCCTTTATTTGGAGCGGTGCGATGGTAGCCGTATGGAGGCGGATAGGGTTTAGGTGCCTCGGTGGTCGTCTCTCGGCTGGAGGAACTGCTGTATGAGGAAATGGAAAGCTCGGAGCTGCTGTCTTCAGAGCTGCACTGATATAAACGTTGAACTGAGTAGGCTAATGTGAAATCGGTCACTCGTTGTCGCGGCAACTTGGTCCGGCCCCGTCCCAGGTCTGAGCTGGCCTTGGTCAATTCTGGTTTGCTTCTGGGAAGCCTATTTGAGAGGAGATGATAACAGATTAATAAAGTAAGACATTGCTGTACAAATACAAATGTTGCTAATTAATAAACTGAAACACATCAATTAAAAATATTGGTAACATTTAATTTTTTAAGGTGTCCTTGTTACATGTACTTACTATTATAATAACAATAAATTATGCATAATTACATGCAAGTAACCCTAATCCTAACCCAACCCATATAGTAAGTACATGTAGTTAATTAATATTACTCAGAGTCAGTACTTAAATGTATTATTACACTGTAAAAAGGACACCTTGAAGTGTAACGAAAATATTTGAATGCAACCGCTTCACTAATATTTTTGGTATGTATTTCCCAACATATTTCACTTTCACAAGTTTTAAAAACAGTCTTAATATCAATTTGAGCCATGTATTTGAAAAACAGTATTCAGGCAATCCTAAAGTACCAATGCTTTATATTAATTTACCTGAAGGACTGTGAGAACTGTCGGCGCAGTGGCAGCTCTGGGGTGGAGGGGGCGCTGTTTGGCTGATTGTTTCGTACTGGCAGACTCTTAAACACAAACTGGGGTGCTGGAGGAAGTTCTGCCATTCTTGTGTCTGTTGGTGAGCCTGTTGGACTGCTGCTGACACAGAAGCACAACTGTTTTTAATATTGATAATAATGTTTCTGCACCAAATCGGCATACTGGAATGATTTCTGATGGATCACTTAAAACTGGAGTAATGGCTGCTGAAAATTCAGCTTTGCCATCACAGGAATAAATTACATTTTAAATATTTAAAATAGAAAACAGACCTTTTAAATTGTTATAATATTTCACAATATTACTGTTTTTACTGTAAGTTAAATAAATGCAGCCTTGATGAGCACAAGGCACTTCCTCCAAAAATACAAAAAAAGGTAACACTTTACTTAAAGCATATATGTATAATGCATAATAAAAGTAGTTTTAATGCATTAATTATGCCTTGTAATGCAGCTTATAATCTCATGAATAATTGTAACCACAGTTAATACATTATCATGCTTAATTCATTGTTACACTATGCATTTTAAATTCGGTTATAATTATTTATGACAAGATATAATGTATTACAATGCACATTATCAATAATTATAATGCATTATACACTTAAATAACCCTTTATAATGCATTATACATAGAGGCTTTAAGTAAAGTGTTAACCAAATGATCTATCAAGTACCTTTAAAACAGCTCTAACAACACAAAGTAATGGTATGCTTATATTGCAATTAAATATCTACCATGGGACTCAAAGCTAGAATATCCCACAGTACCTTGAGCGGCTGCTGCAGGCGGAGTGAGAAGGTTTTTGTTTCTGGTAGGGCTGGTCCAAGCTGGACTCCTTCCATGGAGAGTTCTGGATGGGTGAGGCATCATAGTCCAGACTGGAACTGGAGCTCGATTGCTTTGGGCCGTTATTGGGCAAGAGAGTCAGACACTGGAAACCGCTGTCTGTGGAAGACCCCAGAACAGCTGGAGAAAAGGGAGCAGAGTCTGAGTCTGTAGATAAAAGACCATTTTTCTACATTAGCAAACTCCTAGAGACTCCTAGACATCAAATTTCCACATACAGTGGAGTGTGAAAATTTGAGTTTGAGGAAATAAAGGGTTGCTTGCTTACCATCATCTAAGGCAACAGCATCAGACAGCGAGCTGTCATCAGACATACAAAGATCTGGAATGGACCAACAAATATTTGTTAATTCAAATCATATCTTTTTGGTAATACCGTCAATCACATTTATAATGCGTAAAATGTAGTTTATATGAGAATCGACTGGCTGACCTCTCTGTCTGGAAGAATAGCAGGTCTGTGGAGAGACACAGCCGTGGTTGATGCGGTGTTTCAGTATCGCATCCTGCAGCTCTTTCAGCTTCTTCTCTTCACGTTTACACTGCTGCAGTCGGCTTTTCCTCACCGGTTTGCTGATGTGCTCCTCGAGGGAGAGCTTTCGGGCTGCCTCATAAATCTGCCGCTGCAGGGCGAGATCAGCCTCGAGCGCGTGCAGCTCAGACTCCTGGAGACAAACATTTTAGGGGGTAACCGCATGCTGAAAATGCTGAAATATGGATTAAACGCACCTCGTAAAAATCTTTTTCCATATAAGTGGAACCGTTTCACCACCATGAATAACATTTCAAACTAGCCAGGTAGGCTCAAATAACAGTCAGTTGCATTAAAGCTATTAAAGTAATCTCCGTGTAGAAACTGTGGCCTATACCTCGCCATCTTGTGAAATAAAACCCTCATCCAGTTTGAAAGTGGCTCCGATCCGTCGTCGGACCTGCGGAGGCTTCTCGTCAGGCAGGAGAGGGTAATCGGAGGGCAGCTTTCCAGTCAGCTCCTGTTAAAACAAAGGGCATTTTAATCTCAAAGAAAACAAACTTTATGTTTGTTAGTCACTACAAAACAAGACAAAATCTTGAGTCTTTATATTGTCAAAATGTCCACAAAGAGGTTTCTATGGTGTAATGATTGGGTCCTTAAATCTTCTCCCTGCTTGGCCAATAATGAATGACAGACATGTGGGCTAACATGTAAAGAAGCATCTGTTTCTTGGACATTGCTTTAGTGCCTCTATTGAAGGGCTGTATTGAGAACAAGAAAAAGCCCAGCTTAATCAGAGCAATCTGATTTACGCTTATGGGCCCGCTGACTTTCCTACTTAAACTTTCCTATTCTTTTGAAACTACGACACAATGTGTGTGCAAAGTAATTTATCCTTGTATGTAATACAAACTACTTTTCAGAAGTTTGGGATCAGTAAGATGTTATCATGGTTTTCAAGCAAGTAAAACATTTTCAATATTGATAAAAATAAAAAATGTTTCTCGAGCAGCAAATCAGCTTATTAGAATGATTTCTGAAGGATCATGTGACACTGAAGACTGGAGTAATGATGCTGAAAATTCAGCTTTGCATCACAGGAATACATAACAAAATATATTAAAATAGAAAAAGTTATTTTAAATTGAAACAATATTTCATAATATTACTGTTTTATTGTAATTTTGAAAAAAAAAAAAAAAACACTTTCTACCAACCCCGAACTTTTAAATGGTAGTGTAATTGTTTAGCCTGATTAGAAGTCATTATGCTTCATTAGTTAATTAGGCCAGGCTTAAACTGCTCTAAACCAAGAAACCCCTTTTATGGTCCCAAAGTATTGGCAGACCCTGGTTAATTTTGTCTTTTCAAATGGAAATCAAAGGTTTTACTGTTGTGATTCATCTTATCTTTAAGCTGTTTTTTTGGGGCTCATGGCTCCGTTTTTTTGGTTCATACTTAAAAATCTGAAAGACTTACCCCAGGTTTCACAGACAAGGCGTCCTAGACTAAAATGTAAGTCTGAGCTGTTTCAACTGAAAGAAACTTACACCGACTGATCCGACTGATTGTCAGTGCCCTTGTTTTGTCTCAAGATGCACACCACTAATGTTTTTTTTTTTTTTTGTTAATAAAAATTACTTAAATTTCCCGATTGAACAATGGCCTAATCCTGGCTTAATCTAAGCCCTGTCTGTGAAACCGGGCCATAGTCACAGAAATCCCTGTTTTCTTTCCATACCATCCTTCACCGGAGATGTGGGACTGTCTGGGCCTGGATAATCACAACAGATTTCATTACACAAGAGCACACACATACAGGGGGCTAGCAGTTGGCCTGCCCTGACACAATGAACTCTAGCGCTCATGTAAGAAACTAGAGTTTGAGTATCTGACTTTCCTCCAATTCCTGTGTTCTGAAAGGGGTCCTATTATGCTCTTTTACAAAGTCTTGATTTTGTTTTGGGGGAGTACTAGAACAGGCTCTCATACTAGGTTGTTCAAAAAACACATTATTTTTCACATATTTTATACTAAAATTAAAATTAAAACAGAAAATATATAAAAACTATAATAGTATCTAAATAATCCTAAAATAACACTGATGAGAAATCTGTTGAATTCATACCAGTGTTGTTACTGTTAAAAAACTAATAGTAAAATAATTGTTTAGTAACTGAAATAAAGATGTAATCACACAATATATAAATATTAGATGCAAAACCTAACCTTAAAAACTAGGAATTAAAAACAAAATAAGGAATGATGTTTTGGACACAAACTGAAATAAGTTTAGGTAAATAAATACCTAAGATAAATAGAAATATATATATAAAAAAACTAATAAAAATGATAAAAGGACATAACAAAATTACTAAAACATAAACCAAAAATAAAATGAAAACTAAAATGATAAAAAATAAATGCTAATTCAAAATATTAATAAATACTACAAAAATATAGAAATAATACTAAAATAATACTGGATACTGAAGAATCAGGGGCATAATACTGCATGCAGGAAGATTGGAGTTTTACCTTGGCAAGGAATATAGCTGCATCCATGATGGCTTTGATATGACGCAACCATCCACTGTTTTCCAGTCCAACCAGGTAATCAGTCATGGAAAGTGAACGCGTTCCCACCACTATTAGAAACAAAAAACAGATGTTGACAATCCACAAAATGAAATGAGAATGAACCAAATTCCCATACGTCAGCAGTTTCAGACCTTCCAGAAGCTTCTGCAAACTTCCTCTCATCACGTGAATATTCTCGATGCCCACAAACTGGAAGCGGATATTAGAGTAGTTGTCCTCATTCTCATAGCCTTTCCCTGCCGCACGATTCGCCAGTGCGTTTAACTACGAAAACACAAAAAGTGCTTAAGGAACCTGTTATGATCACCCAACTGGCTTGAAGAACACAACACAAACTTCACAATGTTCTACCTTAGGCCGCGTGTCCATCACATATATATATCGGCTGTTGTGATTGGCCTTGCTGATGGCCTGAAGCATGTGTTCGTCTTCTAAACAGCGAGCGCTGAAGCCAGAGAGAGGCTGACTGCACCGACACACTGCCGCCTGGAGACATGACACAAACAAATATAAATGTCCACCACCCTGAAGTACATTAGAAAAGCAGAGTAAATGAGGAATGACAGACTTAACAAGACCAATACAGATGTTGGGAGGAAGCCGCTGGCATACAGCCCTGACTTGCCAGTAAAACTACTGTTTAACATAATCAGCCTCTGTGTTGACAAGCCATTACCTGTTTACCATTCTGCTCCGTTTATCTAATACCGCACAGAAGAAACAACTAACGCCCATTACTGTGTTAACAGACATCTGCACATAAAATAGTTTTAATGAAACCTAAAGATAAAGAAAGGGTCTACATACTGTCTCAAGATGCACACCAGTAATGTTTTTTTTTTTTTCTAAGCACGTTTATAAAAATTGCTTAAATGTCTTAATTGAACTATGATCTAATCCTGGCTTAGTCTAAGCCCTGTATGTGAAACCGGGCCTTAAAATCTTAAAAAATTGAATACGTTTATGAAATTTCTATGGAGAAAATGAATGGGAAATATCATATCGGCTGCATGTTTTTCCAAGCAGATTTTTGGGCACAATTCAAGAATTTTCCACAGACCCTTTAGCTATTTGTGATGGTTTGATTTACATGTAAATATAAGCCTCATGCTTAAAAAATATACAGTCAAAATCAAATCAATTTGAGCGCGATTTAAACCCGGATGATTGTAACCACTCTAAGTTTGTCTGCCTTGGGAAAGCTAGCGTGTCTCCGACATAGAGTGTGTTGCCTTCTCTAGTGCAGCTCAACCAGGTCTCGTCCCATTCGTCGGTATTTGTGATATCACAAATCCCGGAAAATATGCGTTGTAGTCCAAACGAGTCATTCGTTGTAGTTTTTGAAAAGTGATTTCTGTTCAATAAAATGTCTCCTTTTGAATTGGACTTTGAGCTTTGTAACTTTGCAGATCTTTTTTATGCTCAAACAGCAACATTACAGACTAACTCAAATTGAAAAAGTGAAAAAGCATAATAGGACCCCTTTAATATTATCTATTATTAACACACACAAACATTTTTTTAGATAAAATAAAGCTAGAAAATTTGAAGTAATGTTTATTAACTGGTATACTGATAAAAATTAGTTTTTTGGGGGACTACAGCACCAAATTTTGGTTACTGATATGCATTCTCCTCCCTCCTAAATATGATTTATCATTAAAAAAATAAAAACAAAACAAAAGCACTCACCAGAGTTTAAAATGATCCCGCTATCAGAGTCACTGATCTCCTCCTTACAATCCATGTCTAGTTTTGTTACTCTGCAGTTTTCAAAATATCTGAGTTCAGGCTGCAGATGTGACCTGTTGATGGGGAAGAGAAAAGACTGAAATCTGTTGTTTGATTTCAAGCGCTCTCCATTTACTGCTGCTCTCCAGTCTAGAAACCACTAAGTAAATTTGCCTTCCAAACAGTGGCTTGTGGCCGTGCGATTATGTAAAACCGAACCTCCCGAGAAGAACCCTTCACAGGCACCTCAGCGTCTCCTCCACATCTGACAAAGCAACTGGTCTTTTCGCCCCCCCCCCAAAAAAAACACAATAGCCGCGCACCCAGAGTTGACCGCACACATGTGGGGGTCTTATCCTTCCCATACAGCACCATAGCAACCTGGATCACTATGACCAAGCAGGCGTGTTTGAATTGTGATGAAGTGTGTTTGGGGAAAACTAGAAGTCAACAGATGGCAGAAGGGACTCTCCCCCTCCAAAAGACTGCACCTGTTCTCTCCAAGACCCCCTCTCTTTCTTTCAGTGCCCACTCGCCACAGCTTTGAAGTGGAACAATGTGTCCATGCTGATTCAGCCTCAGGCGGGACATGCTGATAACTTAGATAACCATGTCAGGGATTCTCTTATTACCATGAAGAAAACTTGCAGGCAAAGTTTTTCTAAAGGATTGTTAGAAATAACGTTTAGGGATCTCTGTCTGTGATGTCTCAGATTTCGCAGGCCTCAGTATGGAGAAAGTAAGATGAGGAGATACTGCTGTGACATTTACATAAAATTTTGTTCTGTTATTGTAAAGGAACATGTTAATGCATTGGGCAGAGTTTGAATGACAAATCGGATCCTCCTACAGATGTAAAAAGAATCAATCAAGCAGGAAACTTATTATTGATCTGTTTAAAGGAGAAGTTTACCCAAAAATGAGAGTGAATATATCATGGCAGAATTGAATGGGGTTCAAAACAACACTGGACCCTACTGACTTTCATTATATGGAAAACAAGTAATACTGAGACATTTTTTTCAAATTTTTGTGTTCCACAGGAGAAAGTGGCCTAAAGTTTGGAACAACATTAGGATGATTAAATTATGACTGAATTGCCATCATCTTGAGTTTCAGAATTACAAAAGATGCTTTCATATCCAGTAACAAGATTTGAGGAAGATATTAGCTCAATTAATGACATTTGCAACACTACTTTTTTTGAAGTCCTACAAAAAAGAAAGAGGTTTCATTTCCTGAGAAAGAAAAGGCAAGTTACATCAACCATTATCAAACCTAGGCCTCATGTATAAAGATATGCTTGGAATGATCCTAAATGTGAACGTGCAACACATTTTTTGAAATGTTCCTATGACTGATTTATAAAACATTAATATAATATGCATAAAAAACATTCCCTAAATGTATCCCTCTTACATATACACATATTTATTTATTCATTCATTCATTCCAGGAAATCAGTAATCTAATTAATGAATTAAATTAAATCATGTAATACCCACAACACACTTAAAATGACTAATGTGCACATATAATAATATTTATGCATATTGTGATTGTCTGTTTATTTATCTTTACATTTTCATAATCAGTGTTGGACTATTTGAATTACTGGTATATATGGAACAAAAAGTTTGTATGGATGTTATGGAACAGCTTTGACATTCTGGATGAAATCCATGGAATTTAGGATCAAATCCAATCATATGCGTGTTTTAGAAATAGGGCCCATGGCTCCTTGTTATATCTAATGAGCGCCAGTGTCATGCACACAAAAATCTAGGACAGGCGCTGTATTTATATAAATGCTATTTTGGGGGGAAATCTAGTTGCCCACCCACATCACTAGGGACAACATCCCTACTAATGAGTCGGCGTGGATCCTTATCATCCCTCTTCCTGAGTTCTGAGGAAGAAAATTTGACAGAATGTGACTGTGGAGCTTCTAAAGGCTCCATCCTCATTCAGTTCTGTAACTCATGTGGATGGATGCAGCTCAGCACAATAGAAAGCAGCCTGCTCCATCAGACACTCCAACGACTGAAAGAATACCAGCAAAGCTCTGTGTCAACAAGCCCGAGTGGCCAGTTTGCTGAGAGGACAGTATCTGCTGATACAACAAGACTTACAGAGGGCAAAAGAAAGGCTTATGAAACTGCAGCAGGAATTAGGTCACTGTGACAAACTGTGCTTTATTAAACAAAAAGCAACTCCCAATTTTAGTTGACCCCAAAATTATAATTCTGCCAACATTGACTCACCCTCACGTCTTTGAAAACCTGTATGACTTTCTGCCATGGATCACATACAAAGAAATATTGAGAACTGTGCTGGCTGCTCTTTTCCTTGCCATTTCAAATCAATTATTCAAATAAGTGTCTTGAATTTTGGTTTTGTTTCTCACACAAAGATATTGTTTGACTTCAGAAGACTAACATGTTTTTTAATGCATGGAACTTGTAAAGAGTAAAGACAAATGATGTGTTTCCACTGCAGTAAGTATTGTATCTAATCATAATGTAATCATGCCAAGTCAATAAAGCACATGGGTCAAAGTTTATGATAAATGTATGGTGCTTTTGCATCATTTTTGAAGCTTGAAAGCCTGTATATATGCACAAAGACAGTTTACTTGCATTACTATAAATGGGAGAAACTGCAATGCACAATATAGCCTTCTAAATAGAAGAGCCAATTGCCACATTGCCAGTTGTTCCTACAGTTTTTTTCAGAAATTTCAGAATAAATTTGAGTACCTACATAATTAGTGAATCATTTATTCATGAAAACATTCATTCACACACAAATTTGCCCAACATTTGTGGGACAGTTCATGTTTGATTTTATTCCTGATTTGAAATGTGATTTAAATATGAGTTTGGCAAGCAGTTTTTGAGACCCAAGTATTTCATCATTCAAGTAGATGACTCCTACATGCCTAAAATTTCCCAAATGGCCATTAAATGACTTTCCTTGAAAGGGACTTTGTTGTAAACGTGTGAAAAAGAGCAATCAGCACAATCTTCAGAACTTCTTTTTGTGTTCTACAGAAGAAAGGAAATCACAAGGGGATGAGATGAGTAAATCATGACAGATTTTAATTTTAGGATGACCAACTCCTTCAAACGCACAAACTGCACTCACAAGGACCTCCACCCTGAAAACACATTAGGTCTGTCTTGATTACAAAGCACATTAAGCTCAGAAAAGCAGACAGGACGTAGTCTTATTGACAGCGATCTCAGCAGCAGAAGACTAACACAACAGATCCACCCACCCTCTCTCGCGGTCAAGCGTAAAGATGAGACATCAGCAAATAAGCCCATTTTCAATAGTCTACAATTCTCATGTCATCTCTGCCAGATTCCCAAACACCCTTTCCCATGAGTCTGTGGGGCTGTGATCTATTGGAATGCCTACTCGGCCAATTTCATTACCACTGCGGCCAGGTCTGGAATTCCCAGAGAGGGCCAGAGCTTGGAAAGTCTGACGGGAGATTTGAACACGACCCAGATTGTATGCGGAGCCTGTTATTATAGAGATGCTGAATCGTGTGGATGCAGATGTTATGGAGCGACAGATTTTAGTGTGGGACTTATTTCCACAGCTGGTGCAAAGCCAAAAACCAGTCGATTGTTAATGAAGCCATGCAAAACATGGCGGAGAGTGAGAAAGAGAGTGAGTGAGTGTGTGAAGAGACTTGAAAGACAGTCTTTGTGATTCCACTTCTCTCCTTTCATCATGCCACTCAATGAAGATGAAACGATTAATCAGAATGCATGTCAAAAAGCCTCTCAAAGACGAAAACACCTTTGGCTAATAAAGTAAGTTTCTCTGCCAGTGTAAACAGACTCATTCTCCTTTATGAATGGACATCCACTTCCATCTGTATTCCAGTACAAAGTTAATTAAGATATACCATGAATTTCTGGAAAAAAGAAACCCTGTAAGCCTTTATACAAATAATAATGGCTTTAACTGTAGGTAAAATGTTCCTTTTAATTAACTTTTAACAGACCTAATGTCTAGAATGGCTGTACCAATACCACTGGATCTGGCTCAATGGTAAACAACACTCGCAAGCACTAAGAAACATGTCTTTTAAATGCATGGAGCTTATGACGATAAATATTATTGTAGTAGGTATTTCATTTAATCAATCATAATGCAATTATGCCATCAGCATCGAAACCAACTCGGGCCCCATAAATATAATGCAATTCAGATTTAATTTTACTAGTGACAGTCTTTAATAATTTGCATGCTTTGAAAGGGTTGATTGACCTTATAAGCAGCACTAGTCCATGCAATGAAATGGTCAGCATTTATATCTGTTGTAAATGTAGGTGTAAGTCCCAAAAACATAAATGCACTCAAAACATATTTAAGAACATGAGTACAGAGCTTATCAAAGATTTAGCGCATGCCTTCGAATGAATGATTTCATGGGGCCTCTGTGCAAAGCTTTAATAACATATTTCCACATATAAAATCCATTTATGCCACAAAAAAAAAGAATACACAAATGTAATATTTCTTATCAATACAAATATTATATTTACCATACCTTTCTTTGCCGTATCCAGCCCAACACACACCCTCCGTTCACTCCATTCCCGCAGATGCGCGTGTGCCGGCGACTCAACAGTGCAGCTGGTTGTGGAGTCTTTACTCAAGCCAGCCAAAAGCCACTGGACTGTACCAACCGTATTTGCGCAGGGGGAGTGTGCCATGTAGCTGAAATATTCTCCAGTTGCCATTTATAAAGTAACATACGTATTGACATTAATAGATGCCTACTTAACAGGTTAATGAGGAACATTTTTCAACTGTGCTTGTTAACAAATTTAGATGTACAAAACCGGGCGATACCACTGAAACTGCCCCCTATCGCGCATGTTTGTCTAGAATACTTCGTAAGCGTGCGTGATCTTTTGAAAGCAGCACACGCTTCTTCTGCGATAGGCGTGTCTAACAAAGCCAGCGGGAGAAAACCGAGACAATAAAGAGTTAAACAAGAGGACAACTGGCGCATAGTCCTCTGGACTGCATGAATGGTGTCTGAAATGGCACGCTGCTACAACTTGATTGTTTTCCTGCGTGGCGACATGCCCGATACTGTTCAAAGTAATTTGCTGAAAGAGTATTTGTCGTAACTGGCGTCAGCTTATAAAGACATATACATTTTGAGAGCACATGGCTCGAGTTTCTTCCTACAAACGTTTCTTTGTCGATGTGCTTCCCATTTGCCTCCTGTTGTTACCTTCCTGATAAAGGCGGGCTACGGCAGATGGCCAGGCTTGCTTTCCTCGTGTCTCTCCCTGAATTTAAAGATCAGCTAATTAAACGGGCATTTCCATGTGAAAGGAGATTTCTCTCCGCACTGGAGATGTGCAGGAGTGCCACCTGTAAATGCAAAGGCAGCGAGACACAGAATCTATTTGAGAATTCTAGTGTAGGGAAGAGAGAGAGAAAAAAAAAAACCAACCAGGCTGTGAATAGCGAGTAAACTACAAAAGTCACTTTTCTATTTAAAAAGAAAAGACCATGCTAGGATATTATGGTGCCGAGATGTGGCTGGAGATTGTCATTTGGTTGCTAGGAAGTAACTGACTTTTCAATATGAAAGTCTCATTTAAGTATGACAGTTTGGTGACCTGCTTGACAAAAGTTGTCAAATAGGATATTAAAGTCAGTATCAGTCAAAAGTATCAGGCTATTACTGGTGGAGAAAAAAAACAAAAAAGACGGTAATATTATACAAGACATTAATAGCTTTATTTTGACTCAAGTTTACGGAACATTACAGTATATTTAAATAGAGGGCTTCACTACTAAACTACATTATAGCTGTATGCAACTTAATTTCATAACATTCTCTTTTATTATACGAAAACCATAAAAATTACAAAGGCGCATTTCTTCTCCATAGGCCCTTTCAGTAGTTTTATTCAGTCAACTGTATGCGACGCAGATTTTCTTTCACTCGGACAAATTCTGGAACATTCTTCTCATCCTCCATGCGCCTCTGTTCCTCCATCTCATACTGTGGAGAAATATTTAAAACTGTCAACTTTACAAAACACTAAAATATATGAAGTGCACAAGTCCATTCAACAAAATGCATAGCCACAATAATTCAGTTCATCCTCAAAAAAAAATAAAAATAAAAATTTACTGACTTGCATCTGGCAAAACTCTTGACCTCCATTTCAGTAATGAGGAACATCAAGCAGACAGAGATTGGTCAGTACCTCCTGCAGTTTCTGCTGTCTCTTACGGAGCTCTTGTTCCAGGTCAGAAGGAGGTCGGAGGGCAAGTTCCTCCTCTCTGTGCAGGTCAAGCCTCCTCTGCTGTAACACACGCTGCAGTTCTGGTTTCTCCTCCAACAGGCCTCTGAGAAGAAAAAAGGTCACAGTTTGTATGAATAAATGCAGGTTAGTATAGGTTTGATGTCATTTAAAACTTTCAAAATGATGTTCGTTTATTTTGCTTTTATTCTTTGTAAAGTATTGGGTTATGTTGGATTACTTCATTTGCAAAGTAAACATCTCTTAGATGTTACTCTTTACCTCTTGTGGCTGAGCAGAAGCTCCTTATGGAGATTCTGGCGACTGGGACACTCGCCGGGTGAGCCATTCAGTTTCCTGAGCTGAATGAACTCGTCTCCGCTGTCTGTGCTTTGCTGGGACACAGGAGAATGACATACATAATTCTCTGAAAAGAAAGATTGGAAACATTTAGACTTAAAATGAACACCAACAAATCTTCAGTTATGTTTTGACATTTGAGAAGCAAATTATAAGATGTCTAAAATGATGTCTACATGTTTATATGACAGATTATATGACGCAATGTAAATTAAACTCAGAGCATAGTCAGTGCCTGTACCTTTTCTGTGATGTCTGAATCCTGGCCGCTGGAGAGAAAAGTTAACAGAATAAAAATAAAATATTGATACATATTAAAGTATAAGTAAATAAATTTACCCAAATGAATGGGTTACTTCTAGCATGCAATTGAAATCGTGTAATAGCGCCAGCATGTCCACCTGCTGATGAAAGCACAGAATCAAACCAGTTCAGTGGACTGAGATGACACATGCTCTGCCTTCTAATGCATGTTGGCTTCATTTACTAACAGATGAATGAAGCAAAGCGGGCCATTTATAGCTCAACACTGAGACTTTGAGTTATTTTCAACCTCCTGACCTCTGAAACACAGGCTCTAAAATAATACGACTACAGACAATAGGACAGAGGAAAGATGTTCAAAATTGGATTTCTTAGTAAGCATTAAATGTTATGTACAAACTTGAATATATACATAGACTTGCAAAATTACTACTACCACCACCACCCTTATTATTATTATATAAACCATTGTCGATCAATAACTATTGACTTTACATTTAAATATATTTTGTATATTAAAATTCATATAACAAAAGACAGACTTTTTCCATTAACCCACAAAAAACAAAAAAAAAACAAAACAAAAAAAAAAACAGATTTTAGTCACATATGAAATGTGCATACTTGTTCTGGCCGCACTTACGTGTTTAAATTTTTTTTGTTTGGAGTTAAATGCTTTTATCCAAACCTACTTGCATTGTACTCAGGACACGCATTCCATGTGAACCTATGAATTTGGCCTTTTTAGCACTGTACTCTACTGTTTGGTCTACAGGAACATGTTAGGAACCTTGACACGTCCACCTCTTAATGAGACGTTAATCTTCTGGGCATCCTTCCCAGAGCATAGTGTTTATAACCAAGACCGGGTTAAACCAGCTTACTCTGGTCCAACAGTGCCACTCTCAAGGGACATTTGTGTGTCAGCCACACCAAACACCCCTGTCCAATCTCCACACTCCTAAAGCAACATGACAGACTATTGACTGAAATACATGACTCATGCAAATTATGATCATATTGTATAAAGGTTTGTGATAGGGTCATATAAAAACTACTTGCTGGGAGTGATGCCATTAAATGGGAACAAACTTTACTGTAAAGACTGTGCATTGTTAAAACAACAATGAATAACTCCAGAAACATTTCATTCCATTAAATATTTTTTATATTTGAAAGACAGACAGAGACTTCATGTTGTATTCAAGGTAAATAAGCTTCATAAAAAAAATGCTAAAACCAGCAGCAAAACAAACTGCTGTTTTTTCTTAAAATGAACCTGTTGTTTCTCTTAAAGTGAACTTTTTAAATGTAACTGGATAATAAAAACGTTTAATTCACATATAATTTTCCCCATAAAAAAAAAAAAAAATCAAAGCACTAAACTCAGTTACTAAAAGAGGATGACTTTATCAAACACCAGCAATCATTCACATAGGATTCATCGAATAAACTCTAACTACATTTTTTTTTTAACCACTCACCTCCACGCATACGGTTGATTGCTTTTTTGTCGTGTTCAGGTCCAGCATTGTGTGACTAGTGTAAAGTCTGTGGCCTTCGGTCAGCGTTTGCTGTTTATGTTCAGTGTTGCTTGTTGCAGACATTACATTCAAACTCATTACGCCATTCCAGATTAACCTGAACCTATACGAGGCAGGTAGGATGCCAGATTAACTAATTACCGAAGACATCACTGCTGATTTTAACTGTCTTCCTTCCTTGGAAATAACTCTTGATCTCTTTATTTTTTCCTCATCAAGACAAATGAAAAGACCGACAGACGTCCGTCTTTGCTAGTTAAATAAGCAAATGCCTGTTAAGAGGTGTTTGTTTTCTGAACCAACGGGGTTATTGTTCTGTCAATATAAAATCTTGTCCAAATTATGTAGTTGTACTCTCCGTTTATTCCTCTACATTTAACTTACATCAACTAATAATCACTGATTTATAAGAATTATAATTTTATAATATAATTAATTGAAATATATATATACACACATATTGCGCATGCTCCTCAATTTATAAAATCTTACCGTAACCAGCCACGAGATGGCAGTGTGATTTTTAAGGCTTGTTTAAACGCTTCCCATGATTCCAAAGTGCTACTTATTGACGTCAACCAGGATGTGAGGTCATTGAGTGAATGTGTTCGCGTGTGTGTGGAGCGAGTATGATAGTGGTTGTTTGTGTGCTTGAATGTTTGTGTTTTGTTAGAGTGTGTGTGTGTGTGTAAGTGAATGAGATCATTTAAAAAAAAATCTACACCGTGATCTTATTTGATCTGGTCCGAGTTGTTGCCCTGCTCGGATACAGAGATGATAATAACCGACTCGGGAGCTTCTGTAGCGATGATCGTGAGGCTTTTCACAAAACTCTGGGCATTCACAGTTGAAACTGTGGTAAGAAATGATGAATCGATCAGATATACTAGAACAGGCAGGGTGCTGGATCTCGGTCCAGTATGCTCTGCTTGTTCACTGAGTATAACGGCGATTCTGATCTCACCATTACTTCTAACAGTGAGCGAGTCCTTGAAGTGAGTGAGCATCACAATTTTATTGTATTCATTTAAAGAAGAGACCACACCGGCATATCTACGGTTCTTTTATTCTCTTTTTTCAAGCCCTTATACGTGGTATTGCTGATACCCATTGTTTATCAACCAACTTGTGGGAGTACGGGTAACCCATCTTAACTTGTATATCATATGTATTGTGTTACGTAGAGTAAAAGCCGCCATCATGCTTACGAGAGTAACCTCGGTTTGTAGAGGCGGTGTGATGAGACTCTGTAAATAAATTAAAAAAACACCGTGGTTAAATTCTGTAGCGTTTTTTTTTTTAAGAATCACTTTCTTATGGGTTGAGTATTAAATCTCACCTATGGACCCTTTAATACTGTATATAGAAGCCTTCTGGGTGTCGACCCACACTCTCATTCCTTTGTTTTCAGCCTCGCACATTCAATCTTCTGATTCTTTGTTTTTCAGTGTCCTGTGTGGGGAAAAAATTCATCAAAATGGCTGCGAGTTTTAGCCTTACCGAGCCTTCAAACTAAATAACACGCTGCTGTTTGGGTGTCTTTTTTTATTTTATTGAAATACCAATAAAAAAAGTAAAGTTTTAATCAATGGATATCATTGTTAAAAATAAATTAAAAAAACACCGTGGTTAAATTCTGTAGCGTTTTTTTTTTTTAAGAATCACTTTCTTATGGGTTGAGTATTAAATCTCACCTATGGACCCTTTAATACTGTATATAGAAGCCTTCTGGGTGTCGACCCACACTCTCATTCCTTTGTTTTCAGTCTCACACATTGATTCTTCTAGTTCTTTGTTTTTCAGTGTCCTGTGTGGGGAAAAAATTCATCAAAATGGCTGCGAGTTTTAGCCTTACCGAGCCTTCAAACTAAATAACACGCTGCTGTTTGGGTGTCTTTTTTTATTTTATTGAAATACCAATAAAAAAAGTAAAGTTTTAATCAATGGATATCATTGTTAATATAAAAATATATGAAGAGTTTATTTGCAAGAACAGATAACTCAGTTTTTCAAAATGTTCAAAAATCATGTTTTTATCCTGCATTCCAATTAATATCAATCAAAATGCAGTTGGGTTATTTTGATTAAATAACTAAAAAATACAGCTAACTAACACAATAAAACATAACGCAATAAAAAAAACATGATTTATGAAAATTAATACAAACGGAGTTAAACTCTTCATATATTCAATATAAATTATTTCGAGGCCTTACCCATTATCCAATGCAACAGTTTCCTTCTGCGTCACGGTTTGATTTTTGTTTTGAAACAATCCTAGATGATGATCGTATGTGGATTTCAGATGAATGTCCAGACTGTTCTTTGGTGCCTTGTGACAACATTTTAGCAGTCAGTACATTTCAAAAACACAAAGCTTTAAATCAGAACATGTTTGGATTTACTTTAGGTTGCCTATGGTAATTTTGAAGTGGTAGTAAGCAAATTCAAATCTTCCTTCGAGGTAAGGCTACATCAACTCACTGTAGTGTCATAATGAAAGACATTTCGGCGAGAGCTAGCCTGTGTTGTCGAGTTATGGAGTCTCCTCCAGGGTTCGTCATTTTGTGCGAGGTGGGTTGGCTTCTCATATGCCAGTTTCTGATCAAGCAAGGTAAAAAGTGAGAAATATGTAAACACAAATGTAGGCTATAATCAAAAAGCATACGAACTAGATGTGTAAATAGAAAAGTGTGGCCAATTATAAAGTTCGAATTACCTGAATTTCCTCACTCCCTGTAAATGTATAATCGTTCTCATATCGCGGAAATGGAAAAGGATCTCGTTCTTGTGGCATATTTTCCACAATATATCCAAATGAGTCTGGTGGAATGTAACAGATCGATGGTTTGAGATCTTGTGACTTTTTTTGTTGTCCCTCCTACCGTTGCCTAGAGACCAATTGGTGAGCGTCAGGTTTGCCGCGCCACACAGCTCGAGACGTAAATATACTAACTAACCTTACAGACAAGTGCATTTTAGTGTCAACTTTTCTATTAACAGTTGATTAGGTGGCTGTTAACCGCGTTGTTTTTAGAACAGCCAAAAAAAGCTTTTTAGTTTCCCCAGACTTTGCTGCTAAAATGTGTTTTTTTTCCCCAAATGTAGACCTCATATCATTACTATAATGTTTGTTATTCAGCCGCGTTATTGGTGCTTAATGTAATTTTTTTGTTATCTTTACGAAAATTAATGTCTTGACATGCAGTGTTGCCAACTGCTTTCAATTGAAAGTAGCTAAAACTGGTAGATAAATGTCATTAGATGACATCATAATGGCAAATTCACTGATCTATATAAAGATGAATATAGATCAGTGGGCAAGATGAGAACTTAGATAAGGTTTGTCCAAGAAGTTACAATATCTGTCCCTAAACTTTGGAAAAAAAAGTATCAAAAGGGGTGGGGAATTCGCTAAATCTAGCTACAAAATTGCTAAATTGGCAACACTGTGACATGTATCTATACAAGAGAGACACGTTTGCAGTTGGAATTCCATCCCAAAGAGACTGGCCAATAGGAGAGCTGAGCGCGTTACACGCTTAGTATGTGCAAACAGTGTCTGGATAAAAGCCCAGCAATATTTACAGCACGGCTGTTACTGTCACACGCCTTTCCTGAATGAACGTATCTTTTGGAAACAGAAATGTATTCAAGCCATGTGCTTTTCAATGCTGGAACGCAAAGCGTTTCTGTTATTTTTCTGCTTCACTTACTTTTAACGGGGGCAACGGAATTACCCAGCTGCAAAGAGGTAGGTGCTACTTTACTGTGCATTATACAGGTTCTCTGAGACTGTAACCTGAGATACTACAACAGTCTTTTAAAATAACGTAATTTCAAGTAGTTTGAACTATTTATTATATGCTGTTTATTTCTGACAGCTGCTAGAACTACATAATGCACTGAAATTATTGGCCGACAGACTATACTGGCTGAACACACATTAACAGAATAACACATCTGTGAGCTAGTACTGCTGCTGATGGAATATTGATCATTATAAACACTCAACATTATCCTGGAGGACTAGGCCAGCACATTCTATAAAAATATATATCATGTAAGGTCCGTTAATAGTAACAGAAAACATAATTTCTCCCTATTGGTTACATGCTGAGAAAATTGTATTGTACACATCATCATACACAGTGAAGCCGCCACTTTACAAATAAGAAACCATACAAAATTTAATCCAGGAACAAAAAAAAAAAAAAAAAAAGAAGCTAAGTAAGAAAACTGTGTGAACATAAGAAAATCAATGGGGAAAGCTGACCTGTCTTGTATGTTGCAAACATCAAAGCTAATCTGACTATAGTTGCTCAGGCTTTAAGGCTTGTTTAAACGCTTCCCATGATTCCAAAGTGCTACTTATTGACGTCAACCAGGATGTGAGGTCATTGAGTGAATGTGTTCGCGTGTGTGTGGAGCGAGTATGATAGTGGTTGTTTGTGTGCTTGAATGTTTGTGTTTTGTTAGAGTGTGTGTGTGTGTGTAAGTGAATGAGATCATTTAAAAAAAAATCTACACCGTGATCTTATTTGATCTGGTCCGAGTTGTTGCCCTGCTCGGATACAGAGATGATAATAACCGACTCGGGAGCTTCTGTAGCGATGATCGTGAGGCTTTTCACAAAACTCTGGGCATTCACAGTTGAAACTGTGGTAAGAAATGATGAATCGATCAGATATACTAGAACAGGCAGGGTGCTGGATCTCGGTCCAGTATGCTCTGCTTGTTCACTGAGTATAACGGCGATTCTGATCTCACCATTACTTCTAACAGTGAGCGAGTCCTTGAAGTGAGTGAGCATCACAATTTTATTGTATTCATTTAAAGAAGAGACCACACCGGCATATCTACGGTTCTTTTATTCTCTTTTTTCAAGCCCTTATACGTGGTATTGCTGATACCCATTGTTTATCAACCAACTTGTGGGAGTACGGGTAACCCATCTTAACTTGTATATCATATGTATTGTGTTACGTAGAGTAAAAGCCGCCATCATGCTTACGAGAGTAACCTCGGTTTGTAGAGGCGGTGTGATGAGACTCTGTAAATAAATTAAAAAAACACCGTGGTTAAATTCTGTAGCGTTTTTTTTTTTAAGAATCACTTTCTTATGGGTTGAGTATTAAATCTCACCTATGGACCCTTTAATACTGTATATAGAAGCCTTCTGGGTGTCGACCCACACTCTCATTCCTTTGTTTTCAGTCTCACACATTGATTCTTCTAGTTCTTTGTTTTTCAGTGTCCTGTGTGGGGAAAAAATTCATCAAAATGGCTGCGAGTTTTAGCCTTACCGAGCCTTCAAACTAAATAACACGCTGCTGTTTGGGTGTCTTTTTTTATTTTATTGAAATACCAATAAAAAAAGTAAAGTTTTAATCAATGGATATCATTGTTAATATAAAAATATATGAAGAGTTTATTTGCAAGAACAGATAACTCAGTTTTTCAAAATGTTCAAAAATCATGTTTTTATCCTGCATTCCAATTAATATCAATCAAAATGCAGTTGGGTTATTTTGATTAAATAACTAAAAAATACAGCTAACTAACACAATAAAACATAACGCAATAAAAAAAACATGATTTATGAAAATTAATACAAACGGAGTTAAACTCTTCATATATTCAATATAAATTATTTCGAGGCCTTACCCATTATCCAATGCAACAGTTTCCTTCTGCGTCACGGTTTGATTTTTGTTTTGAAACAATCCTAGATGATGATCGTATGTGGATTTCAGATGAATGTCCAGACTGTTCTTTGGTGCCTTGTGACAACATTTTAGCAGTCAGTACATTTCAAAAACACAAAGCTTTAAATCAGAACATGTTTGGATTTACTTTAGGTTGCCTATGGTAATTTTGAAGTGGTAGTAAGCAAATTCAAATCTTCCTTCGAGGTAAGGCTACATCAACTCACTGTAGTGTCATAATGAAAGACATTTCGGCGAGAGCTAGCCTGTGTTGTCGAGTTATGGAGTCTCCTCCAGGGTTCGTCATTTTGTGCGAGGTGGGTTGGCTTCTCATATGCCAGTTTCTGATCAAGCAAGGTAAAAAGTGAGAAATATGTAAACACAAATGTAGGCTATAATCAAAAAGCATACGAACTAGATGTGTAAATAGAAAAGTGTGGCCAATTATAAAGTTCGAATTACCTGAATTTCCTCACTCCCTGTAAATGTATAATCGTTCTCATATCGCGGAAATGGAAAAGGATCTCGTTCTTGTGGCATATTTTCCACAATATATCCAAATGAGTCTGGTGGAATGTAACAGATCGATGGTTTGAGATCTTGTGACTTTTTTTGTTGTCCCTCCTACCGTTGCCTAGAGACCAATTGGTGAGCGTCAGGTTTGCCGCGCCACACAGCTCGAGACGTAAATATACTAACTAACCTTACAGACAAGTGCATTTTAGTGTCAACTTTTCTATTAACAGTTGATTAGGTGGCTGTTAACCGCGTTGTTTTTAGAACAGCCAAAAAAAGCTTTTTAGTTTCCCCAGACTTTGCTGCTAAAATGTGTTTTTTTTCCCCAAATGTAGACCTCATATCATTACTATAATGTTTGTTATTCAGCCGCGTTATTGGTGCTTAATGTAATTTTTTTGTTATCTTTACGAAAATTAATGTCTTGACATGCAGTGTTGCCAACTGCTTTCAATTGAAAGTAGCTAAAACTGGTAGATAAATGTCATTAGATGACATCATAATGGCAAATTCACTGATCTATATAAAGATGAATATAGATCAGTGGGCAAGATGAGAACTTAGATAAGGTTTGTCCAAGAAGTTACAATATCTGTCCCTAAACTTTGGAAAAAAAAGTATCAAAAGGGGTGGGGAATTCGCTAAATCTAGCTACAAAATTGCTAAATTGGCAACACTGTGACATGTATCTATACAAGAGAGACACGTTTGCAGTTGGAATTCCATCCCAAAGAGACTGGCCAATAGGAGAGCTGAGCGCGTTACACGCTTAGTATGTGCAAACAGTGTCTGGATAAAAGCCCAGCAATATTTACAGCACGGCTGTTACTGTCACACGCCTTTCCTGAATGAACGTATCTTTTGGAAACAGAAATGTATTCAAGCCATGTGCTTTTCAATGCTGGAACGCAAAGCGTTTCTGTTATTTTTCTGCTTCACTTACTTTTAACGGGGGCAACGGAATTACCCAGCTGCAAAGAGGTAGGTGCTACTTTACTGTGCATTATACAGGTTCTCTGAGACTGTAACCTGAGATACTACAACAGTCTTTTAAAATAACGTAATTTCAAGTAGTTTGAACTATTTATTATATGCTGTTTATTTCTGACAGCTGCTAGAACTACATAATGCACTGAAATTATTGGCCGACAGACTATACTGGCTGAACACACATTAACAGAATAACACATCTGTGAGCTAGTACTGCTGCTGATGGAATATTGATCATTATAAACACTCAACATTATCCTGGAGGACTAGGCCAGCACATTCTATAAAAATATATATCATGTAAGGTCCGTTAATAGTAACAGAAAACATAATTTCTCCCTATTGGTTACATGCTGAGAAAATTGTATTGTACACATCATCATACACAGTGAAGCCGCCACTTTACAAATAAGAAACCATACAAAATTTAATCCAGGAACAAAAAAAAAAAAAAAAAGAAGCCTGACAGCTCATATCAGTTAATAAAGCAAATAAGGGATGTGGGCTGGATGTTTTCTTAGTTAATAAAAAGCTCACATGCATAATCGGTATTAGCTTTCAGTAAACTTGTTTCCTTTCTGCTGTATGTATGTTTTAGCTCTCTGTCTTCTTTTCCCTCAAGAAAATAATTGTTTGAATAAGAGTGAACATAATCATGGAAATGGGTGACACACTTACTTTATCATGTCTAGATAAGCTTGTCCGTTGGCCCTAGAGAGCTGTGTGAAAGGGGCATCTGCTGTTATGATCAGCTGACAAACGGCTGCATTGTTGTTGGTGTACCTGAACTGATATACCTGTCTATAATAATAATAATAATAATATACTTTTAAAACATTTTTATTGTTGCAAATATAACTGAAAATAGACCAAGTGAAAATTGCCACTGACCTTGTGGAAAAAAAATTAAAATAAAATAAATCTTGTTTTCTGTGGGGGTAAGAGATTCATCAGCTAATCTGACCCCTAAGAGACACCATAGAAACAAATGTCAGTCTGGTCTGTTGCCTTGGTTTCTCGGTTTCATCATATATATATGGATGTGGGGATTATTATGTGGACTGCTTGCTCAGAACAACTTTCTTCTTTCTTTCGTTCTTTCTTTCTTTCTTTCTTTCTTTCTTTCTTTCTTTCTCACTAAACGTTACTAATGTTGCTGCACTAACACAAAGCACTTAGGAAGCACGGCCACTCGTCACATTGAGGTCTTGTTAACTATTAATCTTGTTTCATTCCACATGGGTCATTCTGATTTGCTCTGTGAATGTGACGTGTCTGCTGTTACCTCAGGTGCCATTCTGTCAGTTTAATATAGGTTCTTGTTTCTTGCCATCTGCTTGTTCTTTGGGGGAGTTAGCTGTCAACATATACGAACCACTTTAGTTTGAGTCTAAATAATTGTGTCATTTAAACCACACCTTTAAGCATTTAAGCATCTTGTTACAGATTATTATGTCCTTAGTTAAATTAGGATAAACTGATAAACAGGATGTTTGGAGATGTTAATGTTATATATAGTCAAGATTTTATTTTATCGGGCTCTCCTGCCATGGTGAGTAAATAATACCTGCTAAAGACTGTTTGTTTAGACAAGGATTCGAAACTTCCTTGAAGCTGATCTCCAGTGGGTGGATCCGCCTATTGTGCAAATATTTATCTGACACAGTATTTTAAAAGGAGATATAATCCAGAGGAACATTATAAACAAGATGTTGGTAACTACAATTTTATATTATGTCTGTGAAGCACAAAATGACAAGTTGTGCATCTCAGCTATCAACTAGTGAACATTACTTAAAAGCACTCAGAGACAGACTTTGGACCACTGCAGTTTTAATATTGCTGTAATATAGTATTGTAATGAAAACTTTTTTCTTAGCAGAAGCTTTATGATAGTATAAATTACATAATATAAAATAATTCCAACTCAAATCAACATTTAATTTCCTTGTATTTATTTATTTATTTATTTATTTATTTGGCAAGTAGCTACCTAACACTCCACGTCAGCTTGTTTTTTTTTTCTACATTAATTGGATAACTATGCAATATAATTTTCTTACTTAAACACTAAATTAATCATTACTGAATAAGGTTTATGTGGTTGATATCTCCAATTATGCCAACAAATGTATTACCCTGCACAAAACTCCATTTTGCAGTGGTCCTTTTGTCTTGTTTTCAAAATGAATGACATTTCAATGCAGCTGTTTTTGTATGTTTCATTATTTTGCAGTCTGATTATCATTTTGAGTACACAGACTGTGACGTTTTGGGCTCTCGATGGAGAGTAGCGATACCCAACAAGCCTGAGACCTGCACTGGCCTTCCTGATCCAGTCAAAGGCACCCATTGCAGTGAGTAACTACAACACACACACACACACACACACACACCGACCGCCACTACTAGATAACGGTCTCTAGCATGCTATGTTACCAGGTGAAGGGTTTTCAAAGCTAGAAAGGCATTAAGATACTTTAATCTTTGTTGTTTATTTCTCTTTTGTCAGCATTTAGCTGTAATGAAGGCGAATTTCTGGACATGAGGACTCAAGAGTGTCAGAAATGCGTTTCAGGGACCTATTCTCTTGGGACGGGTGTTGCTTTCGACGAGTGGGACACTTTGCCCACTGGCTTTGTCAGCCATGGCATCAGTATGAACTTAGGAGACACTCACACAAATTGCTCCAAGTGAGTGACTCATATATGTATGAAAAAAATAAGAGCTACAGAATTTCAGGACATGCAAACAGCTGCTAGTGCTTAAAATTCAAGATCCAGTGGATGGCTGAGCCATTCAACATTCACTTAACAGTAATTGCATGCACAGAATGTTTATGCAAAAGTGCTTGACGAGTCAGGACCTTGAATTTGTTGGAATTAAAATGAAACTGAAGAATGGACATTTGTGGAAATTTGCTTTAATTGGGACCCATTGCATGTGTCTCTTGCATCTGTGCAGCTCAACATGGATCCCAAAAGGTGATTATATTGCGTCTAACACAGATGAGTGCACTTCAACTCTTTCATATGCTGTGAGTCTAAAGAAGCCTGGATCTGTGTCCTTCCAATACTTCTATCCAGACAACCACATGTTTTTTGAGTTTTATGTAAGTATTGTGGCTATATTTTTTATATATGTTTCCCCAAATATATACATATACAGAATTTAAAAAATGATGGTTAGTTAAATTGAATTTGTATTAAGTGCATTTTTATGTTTAATATATAAATAACATATAATAGGCAATATAAAATGAATAAATTGAGTTTTATAACAACCACAAATGTGACAATGTTAGATACTGCATGATATGGGATATGATATGCATGTGCTAACAGGTTCAGAATGACCAGTGTCAGTCTACAGACTCTCAGCGTCGCTGGATGAAGATATCAGAAAGTGATTGGGATTACCGTTATGTAAGTGTGTGTGTGTGTGTGTGTGTGTGTGTGTGTGTGTGTGTGGTCCTGGTAAACCCTACATTATGGGGATAAAATGTCTCATCAAATCCTTGTCCTTGTGGGGACATTTTTTGGTCCCCATGAGGAAACAAGCTTATAAATCATACAAAATTAAGTTTTTGAATATCTAAAAATACACAAAGTTATCTGTAAGGGGTAGGTTTAGGTGAAGGGTTGGTGTAGGGCAATAGTAAATACAGTTTGTACAGTATAAAAACCATTACGCCAATGGAATGTCCCCATAAAACATGGAAACCCAACATTGTGTGTGTTTTGAGAGAATACGTAGAAGCCTCAGGCCACAAAACCTTTTCTTCTTGCTGTCTAACCAGGTGCAGCTGAGTAGTGGTAACAATGTCTTGTACTGGAGAACAACAGGTTTCTCTCTGGCCGCTAACACTGCCAAATCAGTTCTACTGAAGAATATTGCCATCTCAGGTATTTATCCATCACAATTCATTGTGCACTACCTTAAAAAAGATTGCTTGAAAAAAAAGATGGACTTAGTAAATAACAATCGACCTTTTCTTCAGGTGTCTCGTATACATCTGAGTGTTTTCATTGTAAGCCAGGTACCTATAGTGATAAACCAGGGGCTGCCCGCTGTGTGCCATGCCCTGCTAATTCGTATTCTAATAAGGGAGCCACTGCGTGCCAACCCTGTGAGGCGGACAAATATTCAGGTGTGTGTCTCAGCATTTTTAAAGCGATGTTCATGTTAATTCAGGTCAGTCATCAGCTGCTATTGTTATCATTTCACATTCATTATTGCTCATAGTTGTGTTATTTTTTCCTCTGTACTTAGACAAGTATATGAATGTTTACAGGATGTTTTGTGTAAGTGGAACATTGGAGTACTTACAACATATTTGTACTCCTTATGCAGGGTGCATAAATGATCCTGAAGTCTTTCAATTAAAAGAAGAAAAATATATATATAAACATTACATTAATTGTACTAATTAAAATAATCCTATAAAAACATGAAAAGATATTGAATTGTTGATATAATTATTGGATGATTTTGTGGTTAAACTAACAAATATATCAGTCATATACTAGAAAATCATGATGCATGTAAGCGTAGTTATTTTAAATGACTGGTGGTCACCCAACAAATGCCTTGTAAAGGTCTTTAAACGTTATATCTGCATAGATGTGATCAAGCATTTAAATGCAAGCTCATGAACTAGTAAATGTTCATGTAAATGACCTGCACTCACCAGTGCATGTATTCTATGGGATTTGCCTACTGTGTTTTATCACTTTATCTAAATGAGTGTGTGTTTTTCCTAATGCCACGGGCATTTTCCTCTGTCCTGTGTGTGTTACCCCAGGACTTGGATCTGGAATCTGTCTACAGCGACTGCCCTGCACAACGACTGATTACTTCTATACTCACACACCATGTGATTCCAGTGGTCAGGTACCACAAAAAATCCAACAAATCTAGAGATTTTATTTATTTTATTTTATTGATGTAACATTTCCAGATGACAACTGACTGTTTATATATATATATATTTAGACACAACTGATGTATAAATGGATCGAGCCTAAGATCTGCAGTGAGAGTGTGGAGGGGGCAGTGCAGCTTCCGGCTTCAGGGGAGATGATGGCCTGCCCTCCATGCAATCCAGGATTCTTCTCCAACAACACCTCCATCTGTGAACCCTGCCCACATGGCTTCTATTCAAATGGCACAGGTAGAGAGAGACAGCCAACAGCCAACAATTAACGATTTCACTCACCTATGACAGCATATGCATCTTTGTTCTATCTCTAGATGGCAACACTACATGTGTATATAACACTAAATGTATGCTTTAGTACATTGTTGTAGTGCATCAATAACTTAACTCACTATTATAAACAATCATGTTACATGTGTTTAGAATGCTCAGAGTGTCCTGCTGGAATGGAACCAGTCGTGGGTTTTGAATATAAATGGTGGAACAAAATGCCCAACAATATGAGGAGTCCAGTCTTCAGCTCAGAATACAGAAGCGTGGAGAGGAGCACAGGTAGGCCTAAATATCCCCTCACTAGCTCTCCACACAATTTGATGCAAATTTGATATTATTTTATAATTTAATATAAAATTTTAAGTGAGCCATTGATTAGGGCTGAAGTTTTTGTAGACAGAGTCATTCTGTCATAGATGTTTGTGAGTTATTGGGGTTTTGTTGTAACAGGCTGGGAGGTTGCAGGCGAGTACATCTACACCACACCAAGCAATCAGGACTCTGACTACATGATGCTGACACTCACAGTACCTGGATACAGGTGAGCACATGCATATGATAACGAATAGCAACCGAATTGTATTAAAGATCTCAATATCTCATTATGAAGACAACATTAACGCTAATACAAGAGACATAAACATGGGCTAATATAATTCACTCAATATATTTTGTTTTTTCTTTTTCCAGCCTGCCTCATTCCCTGCGTGAAGACAATGAGAGAGTTCAGCTTTCCAGAATAACATTTGTGTTTGAAACAAAGTGTACAGCTGATTGTAAACTGTATTTCATGGCAGTGAGTTTGACTGTATTTTATACCATTGTATATATGACATTTACAATTACAGCTTGAAGAACATTTTTGAAGTGTCTTGTGTTCACCAAGACTACATTTATTTGATCAAAATACAGTAAAATTAGTAACATTGTGAAATATTATTATAATTTAAAATAATTTATATTGTATTTATATTATATTCTAATATGCTTGTTTGGTGCTTAAGAAACCGTTTTTATTATCAATATCGAAAACAGTCTGTGCTGGTTAATATTTTTGTGGAATATGTTTGAATAGAATGTTCAAAAGAACAGCATTTATTTTAAATAGAAACCTTTTGTAACATTATAAATGTCTTTACTGTCACTTTTGATCAATGTAATGCATCATTAATGAATAAAAGTATTCTTCTTCTTTTTTTAATCTTACTTACCCCAAAATTTTAAATGGTACAATTATTATAATTTCTTAATTCCTTAATTTGCAGAGTATTATTAATTATCTAAGATTTGTCTGTATCTCTTTGCAGGGGCAAAATGAATGGAGTAATATTGTGGAGAGTTGGTCTGGCACTATAGGGAAGCAGTCCTACTCTTATCTTATTAAAAGCAATAACACTGTTAGCTTCACCTGGGGTTTTCAGCGCACTGGGCTCTTCAGTATGGTAAGATTAAACTACAATCTTTTACTTTTCCGTTTTGTTTTTACTTTTTTTTTTTACTGTTAAGTAACAGAGAATTTAAACTCTTTTGATGAGCTGTGGCTGTGTGTCTGTCTTACAGAAAAATGAATACAGCTCTGACTATGCTAAGATCTACTCTGTTCGCCTCACTAATGTGATTGGGGGTGTGGCGTCAGAATGTCATCAGTGTGCTCTGGCTGCCGTTGACTCTGAGTCTGCCTGCGTCCCCTGCCCTCCAGGACACTACATGCTGAACGGCACAGGAATGTGTAAAAGCTGTCCATCAAATACCATCATCAGGCCCGAGCAGCCAATCGGAAAGCAAGCCTGCATACCTTGCGGAACCAATACTTACAGTAATGAAGTAAGCATTATTTATTTAAACAAAAGAAGTACAACTTTCAAAACTCGTCTCTAGACCATGTGCTCTTTTCCATAACACAAACGCCTGCTGTGTGAATGGCCCCTGTTCTTTGAGCTCACTGCAGTTTTAAAGACAGTTTTTAAATGTCAGGCAGGCATTGATATAGCTAGCTTTTGAACAGTACCTGTTCCGGCCAGTAGGTGGGACTGTTGTCAGTCCACGGGTTTCAGTAAACATGATTGATGAACTAATAATAAAAGTGTTCAGCAGTCTTGAGAACTTATGTATAACTTCTGTGCTAAATACATTGTGCACAGTTTACAATGTGACCTTGTAAATGTATAGTTTTGGGGAAATTAAAAAAATAAATAGCAATAAATTCATCTTGAATGCATTGGTATAGACTATATGATCATTCATATATATATTTTTAAACTTATTTGAGAATTAATTAGGGTGCTAAGCCCTTAGAATAAATAATCATGATAAGAAATAATAATTTTGCAATGCACTTAATGCATAAATAGTCAAACAAATAAGACATTGGTTGCCAAATCTTTTAGACCTTGTGTTTTAATGATTGTTAAATATCCCTAGCATAATTATATCATTGCAATGCATATTATTCATGCACTGTAATTTTTGCTGCTTGTATAAAAATCCTAGTCATATATAAGAATTTCTGTCATAAAATGAAAATTGAATTCCCTCATGCATACTTGGTAAAGTGAAATGATTAATACATTTTCAAAATTATTATTACATTACAAAATAACTTAGTATATATCAATGATTTACAATATATTAAAATAAAGAATATTATTATTTTTAATAATGATTACATTAGTATATTTTATTATTGTGTATGCATATTGTTAGTCACTTTCTTTATATTGATTTTCACAAATCATGCACTTTCCAACTATTTTATATATCTATTCACTTCTGTTAAATATGTTTGTCCTCTCTGTTCACAGGGCCGTTCTGCGTGCATGAGTGACTGTACTTTAGCACTGCATCATAAAGGAGAGATGCTGAATTATGATTTCTCACCGCTGGCAAATGTCACTGGCTTCCAGAGCAGCCCACGCTTCACCAGTAAAGGGCTGCAGTATGTCCACCATTTCAGTGTGGCGCTGTGTGGGACAGAAGTAAGAGAATAAATTAGACCAGATTCAGTTTTTATGAATGTCTAAAGTGTAAAGTATGCAGTGATGTCTGAGTTATAAGCTCAGAATGAAACATTCAAGTGTGTCTTTCTCTCATTTAGAACAGGGCTCTTGCATCCTGTGTGGAAAATGTAACTGAAAGCAAGAGGAATGTAAAAGGCTACATCTGTCAGTCTACCATAGTGCCTTCTGAGGTCAGGGGTCAGAGTGTTGTGTCCTCTCAGCCCTTCAGTATTGCAGATACTTTAATCGGTGAGTACTACCATGGCTTTGAAATCTCTATCAAACAAACCTATCCCACTGGGTCCTGTGGATTAATCAGATGCCAACTTTTTATACTCAGGAGTGACAACTGACTTCAAATTTGATGACATCTCGTCATTGGATGGCAACTTTCCTGTTGAATCAGAGCTGCCTGATGTCATATTCTATTACAGGTGAGTGTACTTGCTTGCAATGATCTGTGTTAAGTTTATTCTAATGTTAAGTTAATTCTAATCATGTTCACAAACAATTTTTGTTGACCTCAACAGACTGATCTGTAATGTTCTTCCCATTATGGTGTCAACAGATCTAGAGAAATGACACAAGCATGTAAAAATGGAAGATCAGCCTCCATTAGGCTCCGATGTGATCCCACTGTAACACTGAAGAACCATGTTTCCCTACCAAGGTATAACATGAAAATAGCTTTTCCTTTTGGGTAGGGCTGCACCGTTAATCAACACAACACCAAAATTGCTTAGTGTGATTATCAAATCACAAAGGCTGTGATTTAATTAAAGGGATAGTTTACATTTACATTTACATTTAGTCATTTTGCAGACGCTTTTATCCAAAGCGACTTACAATTTGGGGATACATAAAGCGATTCTTCTTAAAGAGGCAAACAGATACAGGAAGTGCTTGTAATACCAAGTTTCTAGACATTGTTCAAATAAGTACAAGCTAGAAAGAGAAGGAATAAATAAAGAGAGAGATTTTTTTTTTTTTTTTTTAAATAGTTCACCCAAAAATGTCATTAATTACTCACCCTCATGTCGTTTCAAACCCGTAAGACCTTTGTTCATCTTCGGAACACAAATGAAGATATTTTGGATGGAATCTGAGAGCTGTCTGACCCTGCGTAGACAGCAACGCTGTCTCCAAAATGCTATTCTCCAAAATGGCGCTAGGGTGATGCGGAGACAAATTGTTGAATAAAGTCATTATTTTTTTTTCTTTTGCACACAAAAAGTATTCTCGTAGATTCGTAAAATTACGGTTGAACCCCTGATGTCACATGGATTATTTTAGAGATCTCCTTGCTACGTTTCTGTCTGGGAACATTTCAGTTGCGTTGCAGTTTATGCAGAGTCAGACAGCTCTCAGATTCAATCAAAAATATCTTCATTTGTGTTCCGAAGATGAACAAAGGTCTTACGGGTTTGAAACGACATGAGGGTGAG